TCAGTGTTATCAAGGGTTCAATTCTTTTTTAAGATCACACTGGTTAGGTGTTCTTTGTTACACACCAAAAAAACACAAAACAAAACCAAATCACACTGAATTATTTAAAAGCTGATGTAGAAAACCCAGTAAACATGAACTTTGCCCTAGTGGGATTATAGTGTTTGGTTTTACTCATTTCACAGTTCAACTCTATAATTTCTATTGTTAATAAAACTAAACTTTGCCAGTCACTTTGTTTCTTGGGGCCTCTGCTTCTTTGATATAAAATGAGGTTAAGTTAAATGATTATTAAGTTGCTTTCCAGCTCTAAAATATTTGATTCTGTCATATTAACCTAAATACCATTGAAAATAGTTAACAAATTACAGAAGCAATCCCATAGTATACTAATGCCAAAGACGTTTTGTTTCATGCAAGAATCAAAACTATATAACCTGAGCTGCATTTGAGAACATTTTTCATTCAAGTCAAACAAATATAGATTACAAAACAACAGAAGGGGCAACATTTACTTGGAAAGGCTGCATCTGAGAGTTTAGTTATTTAATGTATGAGAGAAAGTAATGATTCTTTTGAAGAAGTACCAACAATAATCAGTTATTCACTTAAAGTGCCTGAGGGAGTGCTGGCATTCAATAAGTGTAAATAATAACAATAAGAACCAGTATTTTGTTTATCTCATAAACTAAAGGGCACTGGATAAGTAGCATATTGAAACCAATATTCCATTATGGGTACATTAATCAACCTGTGATATAAACATCACAAGTTGTCATATGAAAGAGGTTTTTTTATTATCCAGGTCCCCATTTCTTTTAAGTCTGAATTAATTTAGCAGTTTTCAGAACAGTGGCTTTGGATAAAGAAAGTAGTCTTTAAAAAAAAAAATCAATTTTAAAATAGTCTGAAGATGTTACCCTTTTAGCACCTTTCTAAAATTCTGACCTCATCTTAGGAACCCAAAAGATGAATATTTGAACATATTTAAAGGCTTGATTCTCCATGAACGTATCCACAACAAATATCTAACCTCTACTCTTTTCACCCAATTTCACAATTTTATGTGGATGAAAGTGTAAGCTGTCATTTTCTTTCCTGGATTTGAAATCATTCACAAACTGCTTTTTCAAATAATCATTACTAGAACCATAAGAGGCCATAAGTGGGCATCCCACCCTTAGGCAGGGTTACTTACCTATGAAACTCTAATCTCTTCAACCAACAGAAAAAATTTCCTTTCACCTGTGTATTCACTGATTTTCCATAGAAATTCTATCTTTTTAGTAAAGAGATAGGCAAAGAATTAGCCTTATTAGTCTTTAGCCTTTGCTTTTTGATCAGCAACCGTTCTGAGTCTCATTTCATTTACACTGGGTCTTGTCACAGTATTTTGAATGTGAACATTGATCTTAAGCTATTATAAAAAAATGTAGAAAGGAAAGCTGCTAAGTTTAACAAGGATCTGACAATTTAGTTTATTGCTTAAAGGGAAATGAATTTTCTCCAGCTTTAGATACTCCTGGTTATAATTTGAAGTAACTGTTAAGGCATGAGAGGCTTAACAGCCACAACGATGTAAATTCAGAACAGATTTAAATAAGTAAATGACATGATTTAAACACGATAAATTAAGAACAAAGCTTGGAATTTTAGAAAATGCAAATGTGTAAGTATCTAGATCCAACCAACCAAGAAGCACCTGTAGATTTTGGAGAACATAACAGGAACTAACAAACTAGAAATGTAGTCTTTTAAACACTATGGTACTAAATACGCTCGAGTGGGTGACAGCTTTTCTTTCCTCACTCTCCTCTTTTATTTTACACATTAATTTTTTTTGTCTTAGACCAGAAAACCAGTGGATTTAGTATAGGAAAAACTAGCATAACATTCAAGTGGACTGAAAATAACCAAAATAACTTAAAGATATAAAGTGGTACCTAGTGCATTATATGCCCTTCTCATTCTCTGGGGGTCTGGGCAACATCAACCCTCTGCCACAGTGTGAAGCCTGGGCTGCTACCAAAGGGATCTCTTTAGAGAAGGTTCTTTGGGTAGTGTCCTTTGCTTTCATAGAGCAGCAGTGACACAATACTGACTTCAACATGGTAGTTGTCATACAAGGGAGTGTGCGTGTGTGCTTGTGTGTGTGCTTGTGTGTGTGTAACTTTTAATACGTCACAACTGAAAAAAACATAAGCATAGGTGTTTCAAGATCCTGGGTAGAGTGGGGTCAGTTGTTACTCAAGAGGCATATTTCTAACCAAGCAAAAGTGTAGCCTCCTCTCCGTGCACATGCATTTCAAATCCACCCGGGAAGGGCTTCTTTCTATTCCTTGAGTTCTTACACCATGCCAGTCACCACCCAGTTAAAATATGTCCTTTCACTTATTCCTCACCATAGGAGAGAGCTATGAGGGAGGGAGCAGCAACGTTTAAGAGCACACACTTTGGAATCAATGAGATGTGAGTTCAAAGCCCAGCTTCACCGCTTGCTTAATAAATAACTTCAGACAAGATATAAACATCTCAACATCCTCACCTGTAAATTGGGAGGAAATGAGATAAGGCACAGAAAAATGCCTAGTCGAGCATGCAGGGCTTATTAAGAGCTTAAAAGTTTTCTGCTCTTAATATTCTCAGCGCACAGATGAGGAAACAGAAGCTTGCAGAAGCTATAAAATGCGCACACAGTTGGCAAGTGGGGAAACTAGGATTTGAACCAGTGTCTGATGGCAAAATTTGTCCCCCCAAACCCTAAGTTAAAGCACTCTCCAGCCCAAGTTATTATTTTATCCATTGGCATAGTTACGACTCTAGAAACCCTCGCTTCAAGAAAGAGCAACCTCTCCACTGAGGAACTGCAATTGCATTTGTTTCTTCAAAATAATCATCATGCGATACTTTGAGAGCTGAGATTTCTAATATACGTTAGGCTGATAAAGGACCTCACACGGCTTAAGAAAGGCCCAGTCCCTTGCCTCCTAAACTGCTCTTTTTAAAAATTAAGTGTCCTTGGGGCCTGCCTGCTAAGAGGCCCAGAATGGAGCTTCAACACGTTGCCTTGGATTCTCTCAGCTCCCACCTCGGTCCTGAGCACCCCTGTTTTACACCTTTTACTCTAAGGAGAATTTCTTTCATTTCTGGCTGCAGTTTCACACCTGTCAATCCAATGTGGCGAAACAGGAGAGCAAGGAGAGGCTTTAGAGGCAGAGTGTGTCTTTAAGTTCCCCAACAACTGTTTTCATAAATGTCAGATTTATAATTCTCTTGAATTTTTAGTCACATGTCTTCTCTCCCCATCCCCCCAACATCTACAGAACATCCGTGGCAAATCAAAACAAAAACTGATCCCGACAAATTATGATTTTCCTCTACTAGATAAATACTTGTTTTTTCCTCCTTAACTGAGGACTAGGACATGAGATAATCTCTTTGATTCATACTGTAAGAAGGGAAATTTCCTTTGATGACAGATTTAAACAGGTCTGTATGTGTTTAATTTTGTTTGGGGATCAGTATTTAATTTAGAAATGACTCGAGAGCTAAGATTTCTAATATCTTTTAGGCTAAGAAAGTAGGGGTCTTAGGTGGCTTAAGAAAGGCGCAGTTACCACATCTCTTAGGTCATTTGGTGCAGGAAAAGCTATTCTATTTGCATTACAAGCTAAAAAACTTCCAGCTGCAAAAAGCCTGCAAGGTATAGGGGGACATCAGCTGCCTGAAGCTTTACAATATCAAGGGCAATTTAGGGGGACAAAAAAGCAGCCAGATGAGCTTTTCCTTTTATGGGGGGATGGAGGCTTAGACTCTAACTTGACAGAGCGGATTCATTTAGAAAAAGAAGGCTCCCTTGGTTTAAGTCCCAATTTCTAAATCTCTCTTGGGAGATGAAGGCTCTTCTTGTGTGCCTTTCACAATCAAACAGTTGGTTATAGCCTCTCCTCTACATGGCTTTGAAATCCTCCCTATTCACACGGTCACAACGAGGCAGCCCTGGGGCAGGGAGGGATGGCAATTGCTTCCTGGGCTCTGCACTGGCCGGGTTCCACTGCGCGGAAGGGCTTCCAGCATTAGGCAGGGCTGCTCTTGGATTCACAAATGCCCACCGCTTGGTGGAACAACAGCCCCACGCAATCTCCCTGTCCCCAGATAGCCTCTTGCTACGTTAATTGCATCATTGATGCATTAAAAAAAAATTAAGTGGCCTTTTTATTCTAAGGCAACCATTTGAAGCAGAAAAAACTCAAGACTAGCCTTTGTAACTAACTGATAACGCTGCTTTTATTTTACTTTGCAGTTGTGGTCACTCTGAGCAATGACAAGCATATCTAGTGTGTTTGTAGAGTCATGCTCTATATTTTTAGTGCATCATTTGCTAGAAAAGAACTCAACAAGATTGTTTTGGCCAAAAGAGTCTTAAAATGAAGAGGCTAGTTCAACTCTAATAGAATCAGTCTTCAAGACTTGGTTAGTCCCCAAAACATTGGTAGCCTCTGGACAAAGGGATACTTTTTAAACAGCTATGAGTTTAATTTTTTGATTTAAAAAACAAAACAAACAGAAAAACCCAAACAAAAGCCTCACATGATTGCCCTATTTGCACAAAGAGTTAATAAACAGCCACTGAATTAATTTGCCCTATCCAGCTAACAGCTGCATTCATAATGCACCGAGACAAATGAATGTGACTAGGGTGCTGTGCACCTGCTCACCTGCCCAACCCGTATGGAGTACATCCAGGTGTTTCCTGACAAATGACCTCACCCTGCTAACCTCTGGGGCATCAGCCTTGAGTTGAGGCTACAGTGACCTGGGAAATGTCCACCCGTGTGCGCAGATTTCACATTGGCCTGCTGAAGGCAGACAGGGACAACGCCTGTGTGTTTGATCCCTGACAGGCAGGACAGATGCACAAAGGGTTGTGAGAGCCAGGCGGACTGAGATCACGAATGTTGAGGAGTCCCGGCTGGGTGGGAGGAGGAGGGGGCACTGACCTGGAAGATGAGCACTTTGAAGTGGTTGCGCCGGAGGAGCTGGGCATGGTTGCTCTCCAGCCGCTTCACCTGCGCGCACTGCCTCTCCAGGCGCTCCCTGACCGCCCGCGTGTGAGCGCTGACCTTGCGGGACTTCTCCAGCAGCTTGCTCACAGCGTTGCTGGTGGAGGCCTGGTACTTGGAGAGCTTGGTGAGGTCGTTCTGGATGCCCTTCACCGAGCCCTCCAGGCTGATCTGCCGCTGCTCCATCTTGTGCTGGTTCTCCTGCACCGCGTCCATCATCTTCACCAGCTTGTCCAGGAGCGTGAGCACCGTGACGGCGTTCACCTGTGCGTTGTCCCTGATGGCCTCATCGGTGCTCCCCAGGTGGAGGCTGGGGCTCGGGGTGGAGGAGGGCGCCGGGCTGGGGCTGGCTGGCTTTCCCCGCTGCAGGTCAGGCCCCGAGTGCGGCGGCGTCTCGGCCTGGGCGGCGTCCGCCTCCATGGCTGCGCGGGGCGAGGGCGCCTGTCGGCCGGTGAGGACCGTGGCGAGGCGCAGAGCGGGGCCGGCCGCTGGGAGCTCGGAGCACCGCTCCCCAGGGCTGGCAGAGGCTCAGACAGGCAACAACTGGCTACACTGATCCGGGGAGCTGCATTCCAGCTGCTCTTAAAAGCCCTGCTCCACCCAGTGGGAGGCGAAGGCTACAGAGCCGAGCCACCCAGGGCTCGGAAGTGTGCACACACTTCCTCGCCGAGACCTCCTCTGCCCAGGGCACTTTCCTGCGGGTTTAGCTTTTCTTTCTTACTCTTCCCTTTTAAAAATAAGTTCAATGCCATATTTCAATCGTGACTTCATCTAGGGGCGGAGAAAAACATGCTAACTTGGCCCAGTTCCACGGCCTACAATTGGCTAATGCTAGTAAACTTTTCTCTGGCTGCTATGCTACAGATGCAACAGTGTCTGTTTTTTTTTTTTTTTTTTTTTTTCCTGAATACAAGTTATTCTAACGGAAAGTATTGTTTGCATTTGCCCTACAACTGACTGACGGTCTGTAGAACGTCTGGTGTCCTACTGGGAGGGGCCAAGTTTAAAGGGTACTTGCAGCCAAGCTTGTATTGTTAGTTTTTAATTTCTGAAGGAAGGGAAGTAACCCTGATAATGACAAACAAAACAGCCCGGCTCTTCTTAATACTTTCTTCTTGTAATTGGGGATGCAAGATGAGTCAAAAGAGAATGAACTTCAAGGATGTTAGAACATGTAATGTTGTGGACTGTTATCATGTAATAGATGGAAACGTTTTGAATGACCATTTTTTAAGAAACATAGAATTTCTTTTTTATAAAATATATTTTTATTGATTTCAGAGAAAGGAAGGGATAGAAACGTCAATGATGAGAGAGAATCATTGATTGGCTGCCTCCTGCACTCCCCTCACTAGGGACGGAGCCTGCAACTCAGGCATGTGCCCTAACCAGGAACTGAACCCTGACCTCCAAGTCCACAGGTTGACACTCAAGCACTGAGCCATGCGGCTGGGCTAGAACTTCTTTTGAGAAGTAAAATTGAAAGAGAACCCCTTCCTCTCCCCCAATAAATAACACCTGGTCTCTTTAAGAACCTACCATGCTCATTTGTTTTAACTCATTTTTAATCCCCGCTGAGTGATTTTCTCAAATGCCTGTCTCTTGCAAGGCATTTATTGACACGTGCCCAGAAGTGTGACTGTCAGGCAGGTTGAGTTGGAGTTTCTAAAGTGCTTCTAATGTTTGACATTTCCAAATTCCTGTTCAGTGAAGTGGCACACCTGTTCTCAGATGTGGCCCTCCTCAGCCGAGCCCTTGGGATGTGGGGCTTATTTCCTAAAACGACTTTACATGCTTGAATTGGTTTTAAATGTATTCAGCCTTCGAAAGTGCTTTCAGCAGGAAATTTGTAATAGGCCTTCTACGAACAATTTTGAGAAGCACAAATGCCAGCTCATATTGGATCAGGGATTGGTAATGGAAAAGTGCCATTCTTCAATGGCAAAATCTACACATAAGCCAATCAGTCAGTGGGTCATTTGTTGTCACATTGATCGAATTTGTGAGTTTCCACTATCCCTTCAGTTCTATGATTGATGAACTATTCAGAGGATACTAATAGTGTGTGATCTAAGACCCTGCCCTCAGCGAGTATACCTGCTAGTTAGGGAGATGAATTAAAGCTCTTTATGGAAGGTCTGATGATTTCCTCAGATAACTGGTACCCCCAAACCCACTTAAAGTGAATCTTTTAAAAATAGGAACAAAAAAAGTGGAAAGATTTGGTTGGAACTTGTAAAAAGGTAAGAAAATCATTAAAATTAATTTACCTTACATTTAACAAATTTTAGTTGGTCAATGATGTGTTAAATGTTAGAACAAAGGATGAATCAAGTGCTGATTTTGAGAAGCATAATTTTCTAACAAAATTATATGGTATCATGATACAATATCCTTTTACATTTGATTTCTGTGGGCAAGTCATAAAGAGGGTCATTATTGCAAAAATATTTGAAGGCTTCATCAGTTTCCTAAGAGCCTCTCTTAAATTTTGACATTCAAATTATTCCCTTTTGAAGCAGTTATTGTGGCATCATCTATGTGGATTTTTTCTTCTTTTAATGTTAACTATTCCAGCTGTGGATTCTCATTTGTCAGAGGAGTTGCCCATGATTCAAGGGCTTCTCTCGCATTACCTTCATCAACTTCGTGATTTCTTACATATTTTGAAGGATTTGCAATTTTACGTTATAATCACTTTGCCCTGATTTTGCAATGATTTGCACTGATTTTGCATTGCATTGTTAGATATTGTATAATCTGTTAGATAAACAGAGACCTTAAAGACATGGGGTTAAAGTAGGAAAAACAGAGAAGCTAATTGTTAAACAGGAAGAAAGATTTGCAAGTGAGCCTATTTATTTTTAAATTTTATTTATTATTATTATTATTTTGGTGCCCTGGGAATGGAACCCAGGACCTTTAGGTGCAGGAGATGGTGTTCCAACCACTGAGCCACACCAGACAGGGTAAACATTAATTTTGAGTAACACAAGTAGCATGTCATAAAAGTTATCTATTGCTGTGTAACAAACCAGCCTGAAATTCCAAGGCTGAAAACAACAACAATTGTGAGTTTTATTTACTCATGAGTGTGTGATTGGCTAGGCAGGGCTCAGCTGGAATGGGTCATCTCTGCCAGGCAGGCTCACTTAGCTCTAATGGAATCTAAGATGGTCTTGATCACATGTCTGGCTCTTCAGCTGGGATGACTAGGATATGGGATTTATCCTCAGTCTTTCAGCCTCAGGGAGACCAGGGAGCGAAAGCAAAAGCTGCAGGACTTCCTAAGACTGGAACTCTCCTCTTGTCATTTCCACCACTAGTAGGTCAAATTGTCCATCACAAGTTGGTCCAAGCAGGTCACAGGCCAAGCTCAGATTCAAGGGGACAGGAAATAGACCCCACCTCTTTATGGGAGAAGCAGCCAAGCCTCATGATAAAGGGTAAGCAGCATGGGAGAGATTGTTGTAGCCATCTTTGGAAACAATCTACCTCCACATAAATACATTCTTCTTTCAAAACACTATTACAGATAAAGCTGAAGGCCCTTTCAATTGCAATTTTCTTTCCATTCCCTTTCACCTCTTATCAGAAGTAATCATTTTTATGGATTTGAAATCTATTCTTTGGAAATTATATTTATAAATGATCAATTCATTAGTGACTAGTCATGTAATTTGCTTTGTTGCACAACCTTATAACCATGGGAACTATGAGGAACTATATAATAGGAACCTGTTCTGTATAAGACAGCTTATAACTAAGGAATATACTATGACACAAACTCTAAGGACATCAAGAGTTTATACAAGGGAAAAACAAAGGCAATAAAAGAGAGCACTGTTGATGTTAGAATCTGAGGCAACCATCAGCAGCCACACTCACCATTTAGTTGACCTAAATTAAGTTCTATTTCTGTCTGAGAGAAATGTATAAAATTCAGCAATCAATTCTTAAAGAAAATTTTGAAAAATCTACTTATTATATATCTTCCTTAGAAATCAGGCAGTGGAATTTGGACTTCATACAATGGCAGATAGGAGGCTTCTAGAGGTTTGTGATGTGAAAGTGATGTGTTTAAGAAGGGTTAGTGCAGCAATAAAATGCAGCAAAGGGTCCCTCAGTTGGTAATCTTTGTTGAATGGGAAATGAGTGCTAGGCCTTGGGGATGCAAAGATGAGTGACATATATTTGCTACCATTTAAAAGCTCCCACTTTACTGGAACTAGGCAGGTTGACAAATACTGGTGTGGTGCTGGAGTGGAGTAACAGGAGGGCTTTAGTCACAAGGGTATGGTTAGGGATCTGAATCCTCCATCCAATCACTAGCTGCCTAATGTTATTTCAGGTCTCTAAGTCATATAAGCACAGAGGTCACTCCAGGGAAATGCCTACTTTATTACTGGCTAGAGCATCAGTGTAAATATCTATGTGGTTTCCCATTCTGGATCATTAGTAAGCTCCAGGGTTTGGCTAATGCTTTAGCATAACTTATAGACCAGAGGCAGGTCAATGGCTTCCTTGGTTGGTTTCCTTTTCATTTAAACCCATATGGAATCCTGACACTCTTGGTCATACTACTGTGGCAGTGACAGGAGGCCCGGAAGGATGAGCCCACAGAAAAGAAAGCCCTTCTCCTCAATGGCTAAAGAAGCAGAGAAGGATAAGCTGCCCACTCCACATATCGTTTCCTTTGAAAGTCATATTGGAATTCAAAAGCCTTTGAAAGGTTGGGTTGCCTATTAAGCAAGAGGTTGTATGAATATATTAACCACATGGAAAGAAAGAAGAGCAACATGATAACAATTTTTTTTAAGGAAAGAAGGAGACAGAGACAGAAAACAAAAGAAAAGGAAGGTATCTACCAGAAGGAAGAAGAGTCTTTCCACCTTTTAATTCCTCTTAATGAAAACTCTACCACCTACCATATGCTTGTGAGGTCTCCTTGATGTCCCTAGCTTGGGACTGTTGAGTGGCAATTCTCCATAAATCTTTCATATTTCTGAATGTTTTCTGAACAGATACACTGAAAGTCTTTTGCTCTGGATGATCTTTTCAAGAATGTTTATATGGCCTGGCCAGCATGCTCAGTGGTCGAGCATAGACCTGTGATCCAGGAGATCAAGGTTCAATTCCCGGTCAGGGCACATGCCCAGGTTGCGGGTTTGATCCCCAGCAGGGGGCGTGCAGGAGGCAGCCGATCAATGACTCTCTCTCATCATTGATGTTTCTCTCTCTCCCTCTCCCTTCCTCTCTTGAAAAAATAAAAGAAAAACAACAAAAAACAACAGCAAAAAACAAAAACAAAAAAAGAATGTTTATTTAGTGAANAAAAAAGAAAAACAACAAAAAACAAAAACAACAGCAAAAAACAAAAACAAAAAAAGAATGTTTATTTAGTGAACAGCCTTGGAAAA